ATTTTTTAATTTTAAATATCATAATATTTTTAATAAAAAAAACCCATGATTTTCACTTCTTTTTTTTTTCGTGACAATTACTTAGATTAATTAATCTTTTAAGTTGAAAACCAACTCGTGGCAATTCGATGTCAAGACGGTCCAATTCCTAAGTCGATACAACGGCTGGGCCAAGTAGACAGGGTGTTTCATCTAACGCCGGTCCATATACATATACATTTTCGGAACGAATGTTAAAATCTTGCCTGTTCTTCGTCTTCATCTTCACTTCGGTCCATTGAACTTGAGGCCTATTGGGTTTCTTAATGGTCTACTCTTTGACTATAAAGTATAAAGCCCACCCTTTGGCCAACCCGTATAGCGTGTAATGTCGGATAAAGGAAATGGGCCTGGATGGCACCGTTTCACCGACTACGAGCCGCCGTCATATGAACCTCTCCGTTCGACTGACGCCACAATCCCGTCTTCGGTCTTCCCTATAAACCAAACTCTGTGTAGGTTTCTCTGCATTTGCGCAATTTCTGAGATTTTATCGAAGGACGAAGAAGGAAGAATGCCGGGGTTAACTTGCAACGCATGTAACAAGGAATTCAATGACGATTCAGAGCAAAGACTTCATTACAAGTCCGATTGGCACCGCTACAATCTCAAGCGAAAGATATTTTCTTTTCAATTCTTTTGTTTTCCGGTTCTTCAATATAGTGTATGGAATATGGATTTCCTTTTAGGGGCCGATGTTGAATCATTGAATAGCTTAAGAATCTGAATTTTTATGATGTCTTGTATGTGGGTTCTTTATATAAAGGTGTTTGGTTGATTTTTGGGTACAAAGGGGTGGAGAGATGGTAGGTATAATTTAATGGTCTTCCGTTATCCTTTTAGATGCATACATAATCTGCTTGGTAATTACGATGCCCCAGGAGGGTTGAGCTCAATTGTGCATTTTGATGAACTTTGATAACCTTTTTTTTGGGGTTGATTCATATGCATAAGCAACATGGATTCTTCATTCTTCAGGTTTTACTAGTATTCTTAACTACTAGCTATTTGGATTTCATGCTTGGACATGATGGGTGTAGTCCCTTTATACCAATAAGAATCGGATTCTTCAATTGAGGAGAAACTCGAACCAGCAGTTGGGTTGACTGCATTCATCTCTATTGAGAATAGATAATGAAAAGGTTTAGGAGGTGGCTTGATCTCCACTCCTCCTTCCAGCATTTTCACCACCGCACTCATTGGTGGCCTAGCCTCTGGTGAGTCTTGAACACACCACAATGCAACCATGGACATTCTCTCTGCTTTTTCCTTATCTTTCTCTTCAATC